CCATTGCTCCCCCTGGTGGGCTTGTTCTGCTTTGCAGGCATATGTTCACACTGACTGAGCAGCCCTGAGCTAAATGTAATCCTGTCTCCTGCTAGCAGGGCTTCCCCAGGCGGCAAGAAGAGGGAAAGATAAGCTGGGCCTACAGCCGTTCTCCCAGCCTTGAAAGTTAAAGAGATAATAGAGTTTAAGCTACTCTTTATTTGGCCTTGATATGTTAAAAACATTTGTTTTCTTTCATGCCAGATGTTTTGCAAAATTGTGAGTTCACAAGTGATATAAGAACTCAGACCAGAGTAGAGTCAATATTCTGTCAATTACTGCATTTCCTAAAGAAGTCAGGAGCAAAATCTTTGAGTAACTAGCTATGTTTGTAGAACTGCAGGTACAGATTTTCTGCTCTACCATCCCAGACAGTTAGGTTGAAAGCAAAAGATTAAAAACCACTGTCTGGCATATCCTCTGCATTATAAATTCTATTTGATTCTTGCCTTTTATTTTAATCTCAATTCTATCTTATTCTCAGATGCACTGTGATTTAACTTCTTTCTTTAGATGCATTCCTTGTTATTATATAATGTTTTCCCACCTAGAACTTTAAAAAATATATTCTTTCTGGTAATGCTTTTATTTTGTATTATTTTTCATGCTTTTGCACCTGTTAGAACTTTCTTTTATTTTTTTCCAGCATATCACATGAAAGGTAGAAGGTTTATATCTCCATAAAACCCTCTTTGGTCTCTGGAGTTATTTTGCTAACCAACCCCTTCCTCCCATTTTAAGAGGTTGTGTATAGATCAAAAAGCAGTGGGAATGGCCAGGAGTTAACAGCTCAGTGATAAAGGATTTTCAGTGTCAGGCAGACTTGGATTTGAATCCTAGCTCTCCCTTTCTCTAATGGGGAGACCTTAAGCAATCTATGCAGGCTTTCTGTGCCTGGTTTCTTAGCCCATACAGTGTAGGTAATGATACTTAACTCCATGTGACCTCACAATTATGAATGCACAGGTCTGTCCCAGAAAGGCTAAATTCATTGCCTGAGTGGTAATTCTGTCATAGTGAACTATATACATTTCTTGACTCCAGAAAAATTTTCTCAAGGTGGGGGGTATCTTCATTGCATAAACAATTATGGGGGTACATGTTCTGGCAGATACCCTGGATTGGCTTTCTGGAAGATAAATGAAGCCTGACTACTACCCTCAAGGAGCTTGTAGTCCAGTTTGAAGCTGGCATTCACAACTACAAAGTAACATAGAGAGTGCATGTCCTGGAAAATCCTCGAAGTGCCATGGGAAGTCACCATTTCTAGCCAAAGATGTTCAAAACCAAACCCACTTCCCCTCAACTTCTGCAGCCAGATGTGTTCCTCCTGTAGCGCTCGCCATCTCCACCCACGGATGAGGATCGCCGTGAGTTCAGATCCAAGCCAGGGCTGAAGAGGAAGCTCTCTTGACTGCTTGCTCTCCTTCCCTTTGCTGTCACCTGGCCATAAGGTAGCAGTTCCCCCACCATAATGTCCCTAAACTCCCCATCTTTCTTTATTTCCATTGACTTTATTTCATGGTTCTCAAACTCCCATGCCTTTAGCATCTCCTGCAGGGCTTGTTGACACACAGATTGATGGGCCAAACCTCCAGAGTTTGTTCTAATTCAGTAGGTCTGGGTGGGGCTTGAGAATCTGCATTTCTAACAAGCTTTCAGTCAGCGCAGGTACTGCTGGTATGGGGACCACACTGAGAGGTGCTGTCTTAGTCCATCACCTCATCGTTTCTTGGGATTATTGCCCTGTCTTCCTAGCTCAGCTTTCTGTCTCTAACCCTTACTCTTCACATTCTCCATCCTGATCTCAGATCTGGGGGAAAAAAAAAGTCCTTTCTGGCTATGGATTGCCCAGAGGAAAAATGTCAAAATCCCTCACATGATCTGCAGGGCCCTCAATTACCTGGCTCCCACCTTCCTCTCTAGTCTTATCGGCTGTCTTGCTGATACCACATCTGACCTCTGGCACACAGAACTCCTGGCGATTTTGATATCCATGTCATTTCATATTTTGTCCTTTGCATTTGCTATGCATTGTCTGAAATACTGCAAGTCCCTTTCTTTGCTTGCTAATTCCTATAAGTTCTTGCAAGCCACTCCTTGGGAAAACATTACCTCTCCATCTGCAGGCAGGCACAGGTGCCTCACATCTGTGCCTTCTACCCTATAATGGTTATCACATGCTGGTACCTGCCTGCTAGTCCACCTTGCCTACAAGTCTACCACAGGCTAGAAAAGGAAGATCCAGGAAGGCTACTTGAAGGAGATAGGCATTTCGGCCAGACATAAGAGTGGTTAGAATTTGGACATGCAGAGAGAAGAACATTCCAGAAGAAGAAGCTTGAGCCTGAGCTAGACATGGTATGGGGAAGGACCAAGGAAGGATCTAATCTGGCTGGCCGCAAGAAACTTGAGTGTCAGTTGATTCTACCTTTAAAAGATACTAAAGATGGAATTAACATGGCTTAGCTACTGGTTAAATAGGGGAGTCAGAAAAGACCTGGATCAAATAAATGCGAGAACATAGGGAGAACCTAACCAAGACCAGACTCTCCAGAGATGGAATAAGCTGGATGAGGCATGAAGGTGAGTGAGGATCAGAGTGTAGTTTTGGTCAAGGTGGATTTGGGGGGCACCTTTAGGGCACATTCCACTGCTTTGCCTTGATGTGTCTTCCCACTCATCTTACTCATGTTTTGTTCTCCAGGGTCTAGTAAGTGCTCAATAAATGCTGAATGCACGAATGTTGAATAAATGTTTGCAGAGGAATTAGAATAATGACCAGCAGTGGTCCCGAATGAGCCCAGGGAATGAAGGAAAGGTGGATTCTGTGATTTCTAGTAGTACCATTGTCCCCCATGATGCCACCCATGCAGATAAGACTCAGGCCAGAGAAAAGGGAGGTTGCTAGCAACCACAGGAGTATGGGGAAAGGAAACTCAGGGAATGGACAGAGGGGTTCAGGAGACCATTGCTTGTCACGAGAAATGGGGAAAGTCAGCATTTGTGAAGATGATCAAATGACACCTTGAACATAATGCCTTAAGTCTGTGCTCATGGTACGTCATAAGTGGCTTTACCATTTGGTGTGCAATGGCAGAATGTATGAAATCTGAACTGTGCTCTTGGACTTCACTGCTCTAATGCAATAAACATGAGCATTAGTACTTTTGTTCTGTGTTTAAAGATATGTCTAGAAAGAGTTATGCACTGTCACCGCTAATCCATTTTTCCTTGTGAAATAGACAGCTTTATGACTATTATGACACTATTCTCAAAACCTAACCACTACTGTTCTTCCATTAAATTTAACACATTGACATGTGTTTAGAGAATGTAATATAATGTCGAAAATGGGAAAGAAAATGGTTTTCCTTCTGACCTGTTCTTCAAGTCTTCTTGTACAATACTGGGGGGAGGGACTTTCTTATATTACTCCTATGTTTGCAGAGAAATAACAGAATAAAAATCATCTACAGATTAAAGCATTAAGTGGTCTTTATATTAAACATCCACACAGTGAAGATTATGTTTCTATGCAGACATCCTCAGAGGTCAGTCACCTTGGCTTGTGCTTCCAAACCAGTAATTCTATTGTCCGATCCATCAACGATCAAAATTTACAGTATGACCAAGCAGGAAGTTTTATTACCAAAAACCAGCACTGGGGCATGTAGCGGGGATATAGAGGATAAACAGTAGATAAAGAGGTAGGATTCAATTTCCTTTTATGCTCAAGCTTGGGGACAGGCAGGCCATTATTTACCCGTGCCTGTCACTGATGAACAGGAACACAGGGTTATGAACTGCAAGTCGTTTACTTTTAAAATTCAATTTCATTTCTTCAAACAATCACGGTGAGTGTGAACATCTAATTAAAGGACTTAGACACTGAGATCCTAGCATAACAATCTATAAAGCCCACACTAGTTAGAGTTAATTCATTCAATAAATATTCACTGAGCATAGGAATGTGCTCAATGTGTGCTAGGCGTGAGGGGCTGAGGCCGACCCAGAATTTCTATCCTGCTCGAGATGGTCCCTGAGCTCCAAACTGATTTAATTGTTGCCTCTGCTACTCTGGTTAACATGTGAGTGACATTTTTGTTTCCAGTTTTCCACTTGAACTGTTTCATAAAATATGAAATGCTGCCCTTCCGATGTACATCCAAAGTAGTCATTTTCAATGTGCTTTTAAAAAATTCCACAGTGTGTCGGTTTTGATGGGGCCGATTAGAAAATCTTAAAAAAATGGAATTCAGGAAGTCAGAGAGTCATAGGAATGCTTGGAATTTCTAACAGATTTTACGAAACGTTTTCTGTATCATGACACGTTCCAGAAGACCATAAATGTTAGTTTATGCAAATATAAACTCCTTTTTGCCTTGCTGATAACTGCAAATAAATACTTCAGATGACCACCCACCAAAAAACCAAGAATTTTGGGGGATTTGTATGTTTCCTAAGAATTATTTGCTTTGTAACTTTTTATAATCAAAGAGAAATACCATAAGGTTTTGTCTCATTTTAGTCCCACTTTTGAATTCTGCAGAGCCAGTGTCAAATATTTCTGTATATCCCAGAAATATTGTTACAGAAAAGTAAAATAATGTTTAACCTTTTGTCTTGATTTGACTTTAAAAGAGGGGATTAAAGGCATTTTTCTTACTTACATTTCAATACAGCAAAACAATGACTTCTCCAGTTAAAATTACTTAATCTTTCACATTGTTTTTATGGTAGCAATCAACTAAATTAAATGCAGGGCTATAAATTTGGGTAGCACTCTTTCATTCAGAAAGAAACCTTATGTCAAGTTCATAAATGTTGCACGAAACACAGCTGTTTGGCTCTGGTCTGAGAGGTAATAAGGATAAAAGGCATTGGGGAGATAACCTTTTGCTTAATATAGCTTGGGAAATTAGACCCTATATATGCTAATTTTGTACTTTTTTTAATAGATGGAACTGATTAAAAATATAAGTACTGCAGAACAGCCCTATTTATTCACTCGACATGTTCATTTCCTCAACTTCTCAAGGTAAGAGATTTATTTTCCAGTTTAATGATGATTTCATTTCTTTTTAGTACTGAAACTCCTTCTAACGAACAATTACTTTAAAATCTACCTTCATTTTCAGGGTAGTGTAATTACCCTTGAAAAGACGTTTTTAAACCATTATTTTTGCTGCGGATGAATCAAAATTTGAAATATCTGACAGGAGCTTCATTTCTTTCTAGAATACTAATCTTAAATCATTTGAAAAGTTGGAATTATTTTTAATACAATGTCATTTGACCTGATAGTTCTCTAAAAAAAAAAATCACATTTTGTATTGAAACAAATAAATTAGGAGTCAAGAAATGGGTATTTTTAACAGAAAAACTCCATTGCACATTTTTGTACAGTTTGAATTTGCAGAGGATGCTGAGAATAACTTAATAGTGGAGTGAGGTATATTTTATAGGATCTGAAATACCAGTGCCAGCCTCTCTGCCCACTTTTTAATACTCCATTTGATTGTTCTAAGCCTTACACGTTTGATGTTGATGGGGTATTTTACAAATATGTTTTTTCTTCTGCTGCAGGGACCTTCTGATAATAATGCAAATCTTCGAACTTACATTTTTAGATCTTTGATCTGTTAAGTTGCTAACTTCTAGTTCTGGGCCTTCTCTTCCCCAGGGATGCATTAGCATAGGCTCCCTGTCTCTGTGCTTTACTGTAAATTAGTCAGTTGCCCGTCTCCTCAGACTGCACTCGGAGTTGGCCTCAGCTGACCGAGCACTGGGTCCAGGGGCAGATCTGCTGAGCAGCCCGCAACCCCAAGCCTTCCCAACCAGCCATCTGACCCACTTTCCTCTCTGTTATTCCCATGGGGATAATAGGACCTCATGGGTCCACAGGCAAGCACCAGAACGTCCTATTAGCATGCCTGGGAGAAGGTTTTAGCCTTCAAAGGACTTCCCCACTGTGCAACAGGCCCTGTGCAAATTAAGTACAAAGAGAATGAGATTCAGAAAAGCAAGTTATTAAGCAGCAAAGAGAAGTTGCTATCTTATCTTTAAAAGCTTCCCATAATGTTTCCTCGGCCTGCCTGATAACCAGAGTTCCCTGGGTGGTGAATATGTGAGTAGGACACCTGCAAACTCTTCTCAGTAACGCAAGGCCATGGCACCCAGGAGCTTGAGTGTGTTCCCAACTGCGTGTATAAAGTGGCTTGTTATTGGATTGTCTAGGGTATGTGTCCTGCCTCCCACTTCCAGTAGGCCAAGAGATGATCAGACATAATTAGATTATGAAGACTCACTCATTATTTCAAGCATTGCGTTTTATGACTTGCAGAGAGCAGAGCGCAGCCCCTCCATATCTTACTTTTTTCTTGAGCTTCCTTCTGCATCACCCCAGTGTTCCTCAAACCCCATTCATTCAACTCTTCCCCCTTTGTAGGTCAAATCTCTACAACCAAAACAAATTGCAATGCAATAAATTTTAATAATTAGCTCAGAACAGTGTAACTAATGACAAGCCAAAGCCGGTATCTTAACTGAATCAGCAGAGCTGGGCACAGCGTGGTGACCATATTATATCATGGCCTCCATGTTCAGATACATGTCCAAGAGTTGAATCTTAATTGATTTAATTCTGAAAAAAAAAGGGATATTTTTTAGAAGAAACCACATCTTGAGAAAACAGTGTTGGTCTTTTAGGGCCTTCAGGTGTCAGACCTTCCCGCTGACCATGCTTCTGGGCCAGCGATTTCACCTCTGGGGGTAGGGAGGTCTCTCTTTTTCCAGCTATAAAACAGGGATTTTTTTAGATGCGTGTAGGAATGCTCAACCCATAAAGGAAAACCCTTCAAGTTCTTTGAGAGGATTTTACACATATTCAAAATGGCATTTAAAAGGCATTTCTGGAGAAGCCATAGTCTCAGCCTGCAGGTTAGCTCCTGTCCTCACATGGCCTGGAAGTGGCTCTGTTGTGGTGCCTTGAGCAGGGCCCTGCTCTGGCTGGTTTCTCATCCCTCCAGCCCATTTTGTTCAATTAAGCACATATTTATTGAGGCCCCCACATCATCTGCACACTGCACCAGCACTGGGGCTTCCACAGTGAACAAGAAATGTTTCCCATGCCTTTGGGGAGGTGTAAGTTCTCCCACTGAAGAGGAAGTGACAGCGAAGTATCATGAGCTTTAGGAGAAAGTGACACAGGGTCTTCTCTGAGGGGAAGCAGGAGGCACGGCCATCCTTGCCTGGACGACAAAGTCCGGAAGGCCCACAGACTGGGAGCCCTTGCTGCTGGGATGTGAGGGGTGGGCCCATTTTAGACCAAGAGGAGGGGCAGTGGCCACAGAGGGACCAGCATAAGCCAAAGCCCAGCAAAGAGGGGAAGGAAAGGAGTCCTGGAAACAGAGGCCTCCAGGGTGGACACAGCAGGAATGGGATGGCAGTCAGGAGTTTGAGGCAGAAAGAAGTAGAGACCAGCATGATCAGTTCCTTTAAAAAACTCATGCCAATCCATGGGCAGTTTACCCTCTTTCCCATCCCATGAAACACAAGGCCTGGGGCTTTGGGTACAAGAGCTCCGTAAACATTCTAATCAGAGTGACAAATTGAATTTGAATACATTACAAGATTATGTTATACTTGTTGAACATGGGAAGCTAAACATCAGCTTTTTGTTTTCAAAAGAAGCTTTATTTAAGAAAAATTTCTTAGCTATAAATGGCACACTGCGGGCATACAAAGAATGCCCCCAAATACTCAATTAAAAGAGAAAGACAGCTAAGTTGAGGCTTGTTAAAAGGGCTGTCACATACTTTTTAAAATGAGTTCTCTATTCTGAATTATAAGGCATGGGTTAACTAAGCTGCTCTTAAGAAACCTACCCTGATCATTGCTGATGGGCATCTGGTGGCTTATTTCAAGATGATGAGGTAATGAGGAGAAGAATTGATACTGCAACCTAATATTCTTTGTTGGGATTGTATTTCTGACCTTCCTTCCATTCTTAGTGTGCAGTAAGATACTTGCTGGTGAGCAGAAACTGGGAAGAAAAGCCTATACCTCCTCTTACACATAAAAGTTCTGGAGTTTTTTTGAAGTGTGTGGCATTATACCCAAACGGATTGCCCTTTATTTCTTTTATTTCCATTAAGTACAACATTCTTATCTTGAAATTCAGATTCTCTGAATGATGCAAAATGTTATCGCATGAGCTTTTGGAGATTTGACAGGTGACGTACTTCATTTATTCCTCATCTAGGTATCTTGCTCTGTTCCTTCTTTTCCCTATTTTCAGACCTAACAGGAGCTATTTTGCCATATCCAGCTTTATTCATTCAACCATGGAAAGTAATAGTACCAGACCCAACTGATGTTTTTATAGTTGCCTCAAGGAAGGCTTCCTGCCAGAGGCGATAAACACTGCTAACTCAGCAGCAATTCCAGGCCACTTGGGATTCCTCAGGTTTTCGCTGTAACGCTCTTTAACAGTGCTTGAACTGCCTGAAAATTCAGGCCAGACAAATGTTTTTCACCTGGACTACCTAGAGAACGGAGACTGAATTACCTTCACCTAAAAGATGCTACTCTGTGTTGAGATGTTGAAGTAGGATTTTTAATATTTGCATGGTTTCGTGTGTCTGTTCTCAGTTGTCCACTTCAAAAGTTCAACTTCCTAAAGTTCAACCGTATCTCTTTATGTCTCAGATCCACGCACTGGAAAGGCTGAGACACAGACAATTCGTCCCCCCTGCCCCTATTGTTTGTTTTCTAAGCAGTTTGTTTGTTTTTTTATTTTTGCAGGGGGAGGTGCACGAGGGGTGGCAGTATTTCTTTTTCCAATTTCCAGTCCTCCTCAACTCCCAGCTTGGGTTTCTCAGGGAAAACTGGTGTTTTGGGTCAGAACACAGTGCTATCAAAATAGCCCATGCTAATTATACGACATATCATGAAGCAAAATAATTGCAACCCAACGTTTCTCTTCACCTGTTTCCATGTCATTCTGCCTTTCTCACCCATGACCCTTTCACCCTCCTTTGCTCCTGCTTCTATTTCCTCATTGATCTCAGATGGTGGTTCCAGGGCAACACTAACTTGCAAAAACAAAATATTAAATATAAATCAATCCCTGGAGAAGCAGGCTGGGGAGGGGCGCGGACACTTTTCTCCTCTTAAAAGTGAAGTCTTAATTACTGATGTGAGCAAAGTCTGCCCTCTGATGGCACTATTTAACAAAACAAATCAGATCTAGCTAATTCCATAATTCAGCTGGGTTCCCACATCCTATTTCTAAATATTGACTTTGTTTTTATTCTCCTTAGCAAGGTCATCCATTTTAATTCTGGGCCCTGCAAATCCTTTGTAACAGTGACAGAAGACTCAAACTTTGGAGAGAACATCAAAATAAAAAATCGTGTTAGTGTTCTTGAATATTTTCTTTACTGCCTTAAACGTAGCCCAGAAGTTTGATTTTAAAAACAAGAGCTCTCTCTCAGTTTACCTTATTTAAGCACTGCTGGACTGATACCCCAAGAACGGCGCTCTGTTTCTCACGTTCCTCCTGTCACTCTATGGTGAGATCTGCCACAGGAGCCCATCTCACCACGAAGAATCCCTCTCTTCTCACCTACTTACTGCCTCCTTGTCACATCACCTTGCTGTCCCAGCAGGGCCCCTAACTCCGGTGGCCCAGCTGCCCCCCTGTCCTTACCCCCTCTGTCTCCACTTCCCCCTTGGCAGATGCTTCCATCCCTCTTCCCTCAAGACTCTCCAGAGAGCAGAGAGAGAGCAGCTCAGCCTCCTCTGCCTGTGTTTTGGGTTGGGACGCCCTGTCCCGGGCAGCCAAGGACAGATGTGTTCACTGCACATTGTAAGGCTGTGAGGTTGGACAGGGCCCTTCCAACCACTCCTGCAAAGGAGAATTCAATAATTTTCTGCCTACCTCCTGCAGGCAGCTCCTCACCATGCCCCCAAACAATCCCATCCTTTTTCCTCACGGACTTTCTTTCTCTTCACAGAATCTCCTCTGTCACAAACAGGGAACCAAAGTGTGGGCCTAGCCTTGGGGCACTTCTTATCTTTTAATGTGACAGTGTGACAATGACCTCTACTTTTAAGCCAGAGGTGAAAAAAGAAGATAATCTTTCAGTAGAATGGAAATTTCCCAGGACTAGGAGAAGTTGAGCAAGGGATTTATTGTTTAATAGGCACAGAGTTTGTTTGCGATAATGAGAATGTTCTGGAGATGGATGGTTGTGATGGTTGTACCAGTGTGAATGTACTTAATGCCACTCAACTTTACACTTAAAAATGGTGAAAAAGGTAAATTTTATGTTATGTATACTTTACCATAACTTAAAAAAAAAAGGATATGCTTTCTGAGTGTTTCCAGTCATAGAAAACTACAGTATAGTAGGAGGATAAGACAGTCTTAATTCCCTAGAATAATTTTGGTCTTAAGACTTATTATTTAATACATACAAAAATATTCCAGGAGGAATATTGCCAGCTATTTGCTGTAAGTGTACTTGACATTTTTACCCCAGCGCTTTCTGTAGCTACTGGAGAGGTGACTAGTATTGATGGGTTGTTGACTCAGGTAACAGCTTGAGGCAGACATTGAAGAAAATCCTCGGAATGAGATACTAGGAATGCATGAGAAAGTGAGGACCGTGCAGGTGTTTTTCCTAGAGAATTATACCCTCCTTTGGATCTTCATCTTCTCATCAGAAAGACAAAAAATTTTAAAAAATATGATAACTTGGTAGAGGGTCAGAAAGAGACTCACCGTGGGGATGAAAGACTTGATAAATCTGACGTTTGAACAAATGTCAAAGAAATTGGAAATACCTGCTCTTTTAGGATGACTTAACAGAGAGATTCAAATATGCCATCATATTGTGAGGACCAAGGGACAAGAGGGTGTATTGAGTGAAAAGCAAAATATGGCCTGGCTCTCTAGTGTGTCATCAGCATTGCTCACTGCAATGTTTTTAGGGCTTGATAAAGGCCAAATTAGAGCTGTAATTATCACATTAAGGGAAAAGAGTCTCAAGACAAATGCTAAAGGAATTTCAAAAAGAAACACATGCAAAAAGAAGTTGAATTAAAATTGAACCTGAAAGGCTTAAAGTTGTAAAAAAAAAAACATACAAGGAGAAGTGAATCCTTTATGTTGAGTGGACCAGGCAGAAGAAAATGTACATAGAAGGAAGATTAGGGATTTGGCTGGGTGGACCAAAGACTCCTCAACTGTGAGGTTGACTGAGAGGATGGACTTCAGGGAAGTCTTCTCTCAAAAGGTTTTAAAAGGAAGGCAGTGTTGTGCCGCATGTATTGGGTGGTGGTACAAAGCGTTCTCACTCTAGAAAGGAATCATCTGCAGATGTTAAGTTCAGGTGACCCGGAGATCTAAGGGTGACCAGGAATTCTAATTAGAATTTAAAAATTACTGAGAGAAGAGAAACTGTTCTGGAGAGAGGATAGGATGAGGATGGGAAGTGTGTTTCCCTTCTCAGGCACTGGGACACGTGGGTGGTATTCTGGCATATTTTATATAACTGACATGCCACCCCAGATCTTGCAGATTGGGAGGGAGCTGTGTGTCCTAGGAAAAGGATGGGGCTTGGTGGCCTGAAACCATTATTACTGTCATTTTCTGGAAAGGGGGAGGTAAGAGGTGACACCTCTCATATTCAGAAACTTCTAGAGAGCAGCTACTATATTATCTGATATTGACAGTAAATTCCTAAACCATCTAAAACTTCTGTTCTGGAAAATTATCTAGAAATCTTGCATTGGGTTACAATGTGCAAATAAGAGCAAGTCACCTACACTCAGCAAGCCTTGTCAGTCCTCACATGTACAGCTTTCTGTGGAAGCTAGGAGTGGCCATGCTGAGAACCATCTCCTAGCGGGGAGCTGTGCATTGATTCACATGATTGGCCGCTTCTGTGAATGAACAATAGTAGCCATTCTTCACCTGACAATAGAAGTACAGTTGATCTTTTTAAAAGCATGATGCAATTTCTGAGGGTTTAATTTCATTTACATCTGGTATACATGCTTTGTCTTCCTAATCCCTAACATTACTTGAGTTGCTGTTTATCATAGATATGAAACCCGATTTAATTAAAAAGCAGAAGATACATCCAGGGTGATGGTGGTTAGCTGGTCAGTGAAGCAGCTGACATCTGGGACTAGTTAGTTTTTCATCCAGCTTGATGAATGTCACCTTGTGTACATCTGGGAACTGACAAGATTCATATTGCCACAGCTAACCTTATTCACGAGCAGTGTGTAATCCATGTGGTATATTTGAGCCCAGAATATCATTTGCACATCCTGGTGCCTGAAATTCCACGATTGGAAAGTCATTCTTTTTCACTCCTTTGGATTCTTCTCTCTGAAGATTCTATTTTAAAATGCAAATGAACTGGGGACAGCATTATACGAATTAATACACAAAAAGGATGGGTGGCTTGTTATGTCTACCTTCCTCTCCAGCAGAGCCTGGGATATTGGCAGACACTTACAAAATTAGAAGCCTACACCCAGGCATTCATGTCCTTATTGGTTGAGCACCTACTGTGTGCAGTGCACAGTGCTAATGACATCATTCCTGGCATCGGGAGGTGCACAGTCTGATGGGAGAGGCACATGTGTACACACAGTACACAGCTGAGTGAGGGCTGAACATGAGGACAGGACTTCATAGCTGAAGGATGTAACTGTGATTTTGGGCTGGGTTTGGAAGGTGAACGGAGTCTGCCAGCAGGAGGGGCAGAGCCACGTCAGTTTGTTTTCTCTGAGCTCTTTCTGATCCCTAACAGAATGTCTGGGCATCTGCATCAGAAGGTCATAGGGTCATGGGGTGAGAGAAGCCTATGGGTCCTTCAGGAGGTCCCCAGAGCCAGACCTCTGCAGAGCCTGGAGTATCCTCCCGGCTTCTTCAGGCTCACTGCGCTCAGGCAGTTCAAAGAGAAAGGGGAGGAATCCTTAAGAAAAACTCAGCCAACCGAATCATTTTGTTTTGGGAAGGCCGTGCTCTTGGGCCAACATCAGTGCATTGTCTGATCCCCTTCTGGAAGGAATTAAAATGGAACAGCTAGATATTTGTTTTATTTTTATTGAAACCCACTTGCCATCATTTGAGGATGATTATATTGATTTTTGTTGCACTCATGGTATCCTTTACATTGTTACTCTTCTCAACTCTGAAATCTTCTTTCTATGGTTCAGAGCACAGATTGTGGTGCCAGATCACCTGGGTTCATATCCTGGCTCAGCCACAAGTTACTCACTCCCTCCCTGCCTCAGTTTTCCTAGGTGTAAGTGGCGATAATAATGGTTTCTACTCCCCTGAGGCATTATGAGGCTTTGGCAAGTTGGTCACAAAAATATTTACATCAAGGTGAGCAGCAAGCATTTAATAAATGTTGGCTATTACTTCCCACTTCCCACAGAGCACCATAACCTGACACACTTCGAATCAGGATGTAGGATAAGTACCATTTCACCCAGTGAGGCAATCAGAATTTACCAGTCAGTTCAACATTCCCTGAGGACCAACCACATGCTAGTGTAGTGGGTCAAGGAATACAAAACCCACGGTAGCATGGCAGTGCTCACCTACCAATAAGAAAAAAGATATCTTTATCTTCATATCAACAAATACCATTGTTTGTATAGTTCTGCAGACTAGTCTTCCCAGCCTCTCACAGGTACCTGGACAGATACTTCCTGTACAATAATAAATGTCCATCTAGAAACACTGCTTGCTGATTAAATTGTTCGCTGGGACCTCAGCAGTCAGGGCGATCCGATGACAGTGTGTTAACCTAGAGGGGAAGCGGTATCTCCCTAGGCTTGTTTCCTCCAGAAGCGATGGGTTGTAACCAGCTCCGTGTTTGTGTGCGTGTGTTAGGTTTGGAGGAGACCAGCCTGTCTACATCAACATCATTAGAGACCCCGTCAACCGGTTTTTATCTAATTATTTTTTCCGTCGATTTGGAGACTGGAGAGGGGAACAGAATCACATGATCCGCACCCCCAGCATGAGGCAGGAGGAGCGCTACCTGGTAAGTCCCGTCGCATCCACGAGAAGGTCCCTCCCCTGCCCTGGGAGCAGCTCCCCTCCACCACCCCCCGACCACCTCCCTTCCCATGGCATCTCCACGGGGCTCCACGGGGCATGGTCACTTCCTCAGGGAGGGAGTTTTTGCCAGTGAAAAACTAATTGTTCCAGATGACTCAGGTCCTAATGAACATTTTCTCAAATGACTTTCTAGTCTTGTTTCCCTCAGTCTGTCTTCAGTGCTAGGTTTTAGGTCCCAGAGAAGAAAGCACCTTTCCCCGGAATCCTAACCAGCACTACTGTTGGTTGGATGTGTTGGGGACTGTCTCTTAGAGGGTCACAAAGTGCTTTCCCAAACCTCATCCCGCTCAATTCCCCTGCAGTCCTGTGAGGGAGGGGTTTTCAGATGAGGACCCCAAGATTCCTAAAGGGTGTGGGCACTGCCACGGCCCTGGGTTCCTTTCCCAGTCCTCCGACTCCAGGTTCAGGGTTCTTTCCTGCACAGCACAACAGAATCAGGCCACCTCAGCTGAAAACTGTTCGCTTTTTCTGGACCTTGCTGATTTTGACCCCAGTAATTGTTCCCACAATGTGGAGTTAGTATCAAAAGCGGGTCAGGGGGTTGCAGAGCAATGCATCTGGCAACCAGCGCCAGAATAGAAGATACATTTCTCACTCTTTGCGAGCAAAAGCTTGCTGAGTAGCTGAGAGCCTGTGAGGCTGAAATCTGGTCTCTGTGTCTGAGCGAGCCCACTGGGGTCACCAGACCTGTCCTGGGCTGTCACACACAAGCAGAGAGAGAAGAAACTCGTTAGGGACCAGTGCCCATCTAGTCCCACCACTGGCCTCTAAGGCAGAGCCCACGCCCACTGCTCCTCAGCAGCACCCTTGTAGCTAAAGGAAAGTATCATTAATTGCATCTCCAGCACAACACCAACATTTCTGTTTCTTCATTTAGTTTTTTAAAACGTAACAAAAGCATGTGTTGGAAGATGGGAGCATTTGGGGATGATGCCACTTTCATTTCTTAAAATTCATGATTAGACTTGGGAAAACTGAGGTGCAGGGGAATGAAGTGTCTTATCCGCTGCTGTGCAACTGAACTGGTCCAAGGATGAACCAAGACCAGAAACCAGGGGTTTTGCCTCACTGTTCAGTGTTTGCTCAGCTACCTATGGTTTAATAAAATATTTTGATGGGATATTTTTAAAGTGGCCTTTATTTTTTTTTTTTGAGTTTTTGATGGCAAATATGTGGTCTTTTTCTTTAAACTACATGTTATGAATATAACTCCATAGTTTTTATTCAGTGACAGGTATGTATTCAGAGTATAGACCCACTAACTAGAGGAATAATATCTACTTGGATTGCCTTTATAGTTTGTATTAGACCTTGATTAGCATTTATTTTTTCTTTTAAAAACATAAAACAAATTCCATTTCATCAAAAACTATTACAGGTGTCTGTCTCAATCCTGACACTAAGAAAATTAAAGCCAAGTTATTAGCAGAAGATGTTGAAAAACCAAAGATAAGGAAACAAGGTTGATGAGCCCTGCTCATCAAATATTAATGTAGATAATAAGTAAATTCATAGCCTTCTATGAAGGTGAAAAGTGATTTGAAAAAGCAAGAAAGTGGAGGGGCTGTCCCCGAGGACCTAGGTGCCTGAGGGAGTGGGGACAGGCTGCAGTGTTAATCAGGGGGTCAGGGAAGGCAATGAGGATTTAGCAAACAGCAACAATTAGAATGAGAGGTGAAGATGGTCAGGTGGTAACTGGGGGAACGCAGCTCCAAGGGGAGGGAGCAGCTGGACAAAGCCCTGCAGCAGATGCGTGCTCAGCTCACTCAGAGATCAGCAGGCAGGACAGTTTGGGTGGTATTGGGTTGAGGGGTGGGGACAGGGATATGGCAGGAAGTGAGTTCAGAGACGTAAGGGTTGGAGACAACAGATCATATAAGGCCCTGTGAATCCTGCAATTAGTCTGAGTTGGGAGGAAGTAACATAAAGGACCCCAACTTGAAAACACTTTCGTCAGTGATTCTTATTCCTGAATGCCCACAGAAATCTGAGCCCTTCACCCAGCAGGGGATGTGTCATCCCACTGGCCTTCAAACACATTCAGCAATTCTCTCTTCAGAGGAGTCAGGACTCTCCCTCCTCTAGATTCGTGTCTGGCTGAGCCTTACATGCCTGTCCTGGAAGTCTCACAAGGGTCCTCACACTCACAATTTCCAGGGGCAGGAGGAGCCTCTACTGCAAATGGAGTCTGTGGGATGGTGACCCTAGAGTTGTGCAGTGCACAGCCTACACAGCTGTTGCACGGGGCTCCTAGTGTTTTCTGTACTCCCACCAAGTTCTGTACTGGTTATGTCATTTCTCTGGGTGATACAGTGTCTTAACTTCACTCTTCTTCTCTGAACAGCTCATAAGCTCTTGGGGGACAATATAGGATCACAGTCCAATCTATGTCCCTGATACCTAGAAAAAAGGCTGAAATACTGGAACCTCAGCAGCACTCTAATTAACAAAATAGAGTGCTCTTTTATTTTATAAAGTAGCTAGTTAATATAATACAATAAAATAAACAACAGTAAAATATTAATATAGGACTTGAGGGGGAAATTGTCTGGGTTTTCTACCCTGTCAAAGTTTTGCCATCTTGTAAAACGTTTCACATAACATAGTCTTCATATATTCACACAAACAATAAGTTGCAATCATTTGTAAACATGAGAGAAAAAAAACACAGTTTAGATTCTTTTTTTTAAAACCCCCTAAAATGTTGGAAGTTGGTAGTGGAGGCAAGTTATATTTTTGAAAGTTGGCAGCTGACTTTATGGTGTGATTTGAGAGATTCCGGAGAAATTTCCCTGCCTGAAATTCTACCCTCCGAGATCTGCGGGGCCCCTCTCCACATGTAAGCGCTGTGTCCTGGGAAGGGCCTGGGTCAGGACAGCTCAGCTCTTCCTTGGCAGGCCCCAGCCGGAGAGTGCTGCATCTCCAAAGCAGCAGAGGGAGGAATTGGGGGAGCAGGAAGGGGGATGGGCAAGGAACATGTGATGCCTTCATGCTCCAGCCCCAGCCTGTTCCAGTTAAAAGGCTGTTTTCTTGTTCAAAGGATGTTTGTTTATTTGGAAGAAGATATTCTCTTGCCCTTTTTTTTTTTTTGATAGCTGTAACTTTTTATTCCATTGCCTTGGTCCCATTAGACCCTTGATATAAAACTGCCCACTTTCAGAGCCTGTCCTTATTTTGGCAAGCCTGGGTGGTCAGTTGTTTGACTTAAAAGAGGGTGTTGTTTGTGTCTTGGTGGGATATGGGGCAGCTGTGAGGACACCAGTGTCCCCTCAGTGAGGCTCTGTGTGGGGGTGAGGGCCTGAGGGGACCCGGTGCCTGGGGAGGCAGGCAAGGCAGGCCACCCCCTCGGAGCCCCTGTGGCCAGGAGGCCTCTCCCTATACACTGCACGCACACAGAGTCACGGGTGCTGGCTCACAGCGGGCCTACTGATGTGCTCACGTTACTCCACATCGCGGCACTCTGAAGCCACTTGCTTTATCCAGTTGCCAAAAATCAGGCAGCTCTGCTCCTGGCCCTGAGCCTTGCAGAACTGCTTAGCATACAGCTGAGAGGGGCCTGGGCCTCTGAGCCTGCCCTGGGGTGAAATAATATCATCGTGTGGTGCTGGGTGGTTTGGAGGAAAGCAGAAAAGAGGAAAGGGATGTAGGATTTGCAGAGTCCCCTGAGGTCAGGAGGAAACTCTCCTTTCACAGGTGCAAGAGTAGGACCTGGGTCTACGGACGAGTTAGGGGCCCCACCAGGGGTAGAAGCCAGGCCTCCCGACTCCACAGCTGCGTTGTTCTGTCACTTGGACTTCATGTTTTACTTCCCGAATGGTAAAGGGAGAAAAAGACTAGGGGCCAGTTTCCATGCTTTTTGGGCAAAATCCGACATATCTTTACAAAGACAGAGCTGTTATAACAATAAAAAATATATATATATTCAAGCATCTTCTATCTACTTCCCATATTTTCTGGAAACAATTCGATTTTCTAAAAATTTCCATTTCTTTCCAAACCATTCTGTATTTACCAGAAAATAATTTTAAAGTAAATTATTGCTTGAAAAGTAATCAACTTATAGCAAGCCACACTGTGAAAGGCAGTTCCCTTAGGCTCATTTCTCTTTGTCCAGAGCCAGAAACTCTGCTCCCCCTTACACAGGTGGCTGCCTCCTTTCTTGGTGTTAGCATCGTAAGTTGGGGCAGATCTGAGCCCAGGCACTGGGTATGTCCCAGCCCATGAGACTCATCTCCAGCTCGAGTCTGGCCTCATTTATTTCCAGGGCAGGGAAATACCTGGCACCCAGAGCACAACTAATGAAAGACTGAATGATTGCTAATGAGAAGCAACTGTTGTGATTTACAGCAAGGGAGAGCATCTCGTTCCTGCTGAAACCACTCCCTTTTCCAGCCACTGAGTTTCCCCAAAAATGGATTTCTTGTGTTGCCATTTCCTCTCTGTCAATCACACATGTGTGATTTGTGCTTGCTTTTGCCTAAAACCTGGCCTTAGGACGTTTCATGGTGAAATCTCCTGCAGAGAAACCACTTGGCACTTTCAAACTCCAAAAAATGTCAAGTTGGGCTCCTCACCCAAACTTACTGCAACCTCGGTAGATGATCCTCCATTTGATGGAGTAGGAAGAGGGAGGGGGAAATTTTCCCAGGGAAAAAGCCTGCCTGTGTGATGCTGCTTATTTGGCTTGGCTACAAGGCGAGGAAAGCAATGCATGTTTAAAAGAAAAGATGCGTAATTTGCAGCTTCTTAATTCATAAAGAATTCAGTGAATCATGTTGGCCCAGTTGGATTCTGGGGAAGTCTGAAAACTGGCCAGCGTCAGCAAAGGTCCTCAGAAAGCTATGCATTTCAGTCTGCTTGAAAGTTTTGGACTCTGAAATCGTTTAGCTTTGGAAATTGTATATATGAAATTTATGTTCTGTC